TGGGGTCACACGTTCGGTTCGAGTCCTGTTTAGCGACTCTGGAGCTCAAAACGCGTCTAGAGTTTTGGCCGCCTCCACCAGTCTTCGGGCCCACTGTGCGGCGGGTCCCAGGAAGGCAGTGACTCGCAGTCCGCTGCTGCTCGCCGTGCACACTGCGCGCACCGCCAGCACTGCGCACGGCACTCCGTCGAAGATCGGTCCGGTCCACTGAGTGGGGTCACTGCACAAATCACGGGGCTGCGGGGTGGCCCGCACGCCCCCACGCTACACAGCTCGACACGCGAGCGGAAGAACCGCCCATCTTCAGCGCGACGAAACAAACCCGCGTACCGCGACCAGCCGTTTCAAACCGCTTACCTCCCGCGGCCGATTCAAAACCGCTTACCTCCGCCGGCCCGTTCCAATTCCCGCTTACCTGCTCGCAGGCCGAGGCGGCGCGTACGCGGGTTTGAAACGGCTGCGGCGGAGGTAAGCGGTTTTGAATCGGCCCGGGGTTAAGTAAGCGGGTTTGAAGCGGCGGCCGCGCGGTACGCGGGTTTGTTTCGTCGCGCTGAAGATGGGCGGTTCTTCCGCTCGCGTGTCGAGCAGCTGGAGGCGACTACTGTGCGCCTCAGCCGTGTCCGGAGACGGCGTCCTTCACTCTTATTAAAACCTTACGAAGTATTTTGAGCATACGCATAACAAACTGAAATACTTTGTTATACGAAGAAATAGTTCGTAAATTACAAAGTGTTTTCTTTGTAAGCTTGCGTATGCTCAAAATACTTTGTTATACAAACTAGTTTTCTTTGTAAGGCCCAAAATAGTTTGTAAGGTTTTCTCAGTGTTGGTCGCGGTGAGGACTCGGCGCCGGGGCCCGGCCGCAGACAGCCGCAGCGTGAACCGTTAGCTCTGCGGTGGCGGTGTCACTGTTTTGACCTGCCTGCGGGGTTTACACAGTAAATGTCTTACGGTGAAAGGCTGCACCAACATAATATGGTGGAGATTTTCTCCACAATACCAACGAAATTCGTCAAAATCTTTATAAGGTACAGTGAATTCTCAATGGTAGGTTACGAAGTCAGCTGCACCACCATAATATGGAGAATCTTCACTGTACAACATTTAGAGTGTAGCGTTTAGCCTGGCTGGTCAGATAGGCTGACGTGATCCTCGGACAACGACGTGCCTGTGGCGGCGGTGCTTTGTGTTGGTGAGAATGCCCCGGCCGTTGTGTCCGTCCGGCCCGATGCGCGCGATGCGTCCCGCCCGCGGCAGAACGCGCCCGCGCTCGGCAGTTGTTGCATCGAATGGCGGCCGTCCGGCGATGGCGCCCCCTGCCGCCAAGCGACGCCCCCCGCAGTGCACACGACGAGGCGACGCCAGCCAGTCTTGTCAGGCTGGCTGAGCCCCCCGTGGGTGTCGCTGTGCAAGACGTGTCGGGAGTGCCCGAGGCCGTGCCCGAGGCCGTGCCCGCTCGCGTGATGTAAGGAGGCCGCGGGGGCGCCAGGAAGCCGATGACGGAGTGCCCTCGTGAGGCGCGTCGCGAGGCGCGACCGCTGCGCCCTCAATGGCACTCTTCTTCACCTGCGACCGCAACCTTGGCGGGGATTAAATTGAAAGCAAACACGTCCCCTTCCCTCTTCCTTTCGGCCCTTTTGGCGAGATGAGAGAAAAGTAAACTTCATTCCGGCTTCGTGATTAAAGCGGCCCGCCCGCGCCGCCCCGGCCCGGCCCTTCCCGTCAGGACTGATCCCGGCAAACAGCCGACGCCGCTCTTGGCGCAATTTTCCATTCCCAATCACCCCATTTGCTGCGGCCGGGCCTTTGCCGAGCTTTGCTTGGCGCACTTCGTGCACTTCGTGCCTCGCGGCCGCCAAGTGCCTCGGCGTCCTGACGTCCCGGCGTCCCGGCCGCCGGCAGCGCGGTGAGCCGGAGGGACGCCAGCCGCCTTCCTGGCGCACAGTGGGCGGAGGCGGACTAAACTCTAGACGCGCTTCGAGCTCCAAGTCGCTAAATGGGACTCGAACCGAACGTGTGACCCCACCAATGGATTGCTCTCCGAACGAGGAATCCATTGGTAGGGTCACACGTTCGGTTCGAGTCCCATGTAGCGACTCTGGAGCTCAAAACGCGTCTAGAGTTTTGTCCGCCTCCTGCGGTCTTCTGGCCCACTGTGTGGCGGTCCCCTGCCGGCCTGCTCCTCCATGCGGACAGGGAGCGCTCCTCGGATGGCCGATCACGCGACGATTAGGCCTTGACTTCAAACAAATTTGTTTGAACACCCGGAAAGGGCGTTTCTCGAACAGAAAGTGCCTCCCAAAGAATAGGAAAAAGCCCTGCGCACAGAGTCGCGCTGGCGCGCTGGGCGTCTTTGTCCTGATTGGCACCTCGCGGTCTGCGGTCGGGGTGTATTGCGTTGAGCGCAATTAGTCCCAGTCGGAAACGCGAGTCGAGTCGGTGGAGGAGTCGGGCCGCGGCGGCAGGCTTGGCTTGGCGGCACCAGTCCCGGACGGACGGGAGCAAATAATTTGCCTCCGTGTTCTGCAGTAAGGAGAGAAGGAGACGACGAAAGAAACACAAGACGGAGGGAGGGCCAAAACTGCGTGGGAGGGGAAGGGGGCGGGGAGGCACAAAAGAGGAATATATATCACTTGGCTCAGTGAAAGGCGAGGCCGTGCGGCGGGGCCGCGGCGAGGCCTGGATGCTCCAAGACGACTCGGACCTTGGTAGCGAGCCTCTGCCCGCCTCTGCCCGCCTCTGCCGCCCCCGCACTCCTACGGACCGACAATAAAAAATTCGGACGCCACTCTGCTCTTTTCTTCTTGCTTTTTGAGGTCTGTGTTGGCTGGCGCTTCTTCTCTTATAGAGGTAGCAGCGGATTTTTTTCGATGGCCGCATTTTGGGGCCCTGTAAACTACAATATAACAGCTGAGGGGTGATGCCAGGCCATGCGCTGGCAGCGAGACTTGTTTTTTTATTGTTATTTTTGTTATTATTATTTGCCGCACGCCCTTTTTTTGCGCGACCTTTGCTCCAGGGACGCAGACCAGGAAGTTTTGAGATGTTCTGCGCGAACTGATCAGGAGTGCTCCTAGCAAAGCAAGCCTGTGGCCCCCGTACGTCGCGTACTACTTCGCGATCTTAGCGTAGTTTGCTGCCGTGTCCTTTTCGATGTGCTGGTGGTCGCCTAGTCCCCTCCCACCGCAAGCGCCCCGACTAGTGTGGCGGCCCTCGCACAACACGGGACCTCATTTGCACAACTTTCACTATCCCCCTCCCCCTCTCGATGCGCGACCGCCATGTTTGGCCCAGACTAATTAGCATAGAAGAAGGGCAGAGCTAGGGAGCGCGTAAAAGAGGGCCGCGTGGAGAGAGGGGCACAGGCACGGTGAGGAGTGGGGGCAGTGCAGCGGTTTCAAGGAGGCCGTGCTTTGCCGTGGGAATACATCCCCGCCGCATTCAAGTATGCTGAGGCCGAGAATGACGACGAGGCCCCCCCCCCCCTTGCCGGTGTTGGCGGCCCGGCCGGTGCCAGGCCAGGGGCTGGCCCTCGCCGTTGTTCTCCTCTCGCAGAGTAGAGATGGTCTTTTTGCAAAACGCTGGGCCGCGCTTTATGCGATTTATGGCCCGACACTACTTTCTCGCGCTGCCAGCGCTGCCAGCACTGCGGGACGGACCACGGCGCTCCTGTTGCTCGTTGCGCCCGCGCCACAAATGACGGCAGCGGCGAAAAGAACACAACACACAACACGCATAACCAAAATGAACAAATCGCGACTGATATCGGGCGAGATGGACACCCGAATCGATGTGATGATTTGAGGTGTTTACGTAGTTCGGCGCAGTCCCATTAGTTCAATTAATTTCGGGGCGCCGCTGGAGGGGAATGTAAAATGCAAAAGGTGTTTCCATTTATCCGAGGTAAAAATGTTCGCCCTCATCGGCCGGCCTCGCATTAAGCCCCCCTCCCGCGGTGTGTGCGGGGCCTGTCACCGTTCGCCGCCTGCGGCTGACGGCCGTCATGGCCCCGCCGCCTCCCCTCCACCCCCCCCCCCCCTTTCCACCCCCTCGGCCCCCGGCCCCCGACGCCACCCCGCGACATGTCACGCGGATACTGCTCGCGATCTGAAATGAAATCTCTTAACGCTGTTGTGCCGCTCTCTTCCCCCCGGGTCCGCGGCCTGCAGCGACATCGCGGAGGCCCGCCCCTGGACCCGCCCCTGGACCCGCCCCTGGACCCGCCCCTGGACCCGCCCTGGACCCGCCCCTGGACCCGCCCCTGGACCCGCCCCTGGACCCGCCCCTGGACCCGCCCCTGGACCCGCCCCTGGACCCGCCCCTGGACCCGCCCCTGGACCCGCCCCTGGACCCGCCCCTGGACCCGCCCCTGGACCCGCCCCTGGACCCGCCCCTGGACCCGCCCCTGGACCCGCCCCTGGACCCGCCCCTGGACCGCCCGGACCGCCCCTGGACCCGCCCCTGGACCCGCCCCTGGACCCGCCCCCAGGCCCCGGGCTCCCGAAGGACGCCGCCGTGGCCGAGGCCCTGGGGCCCCGGCAGCCTCCATCTTCATCGCCGTCGATAATCGGATCAGGCGCCCATCAATCGCAAATGGAAAGCGCTTTTATTTCTCTTTGCCTTGTACTGGATGCCAGCGTGTTGGCAAGCTGGCCATGCCGGTCACGCAAAGCGCCAAATGCCAATCTTGTTTTCCTCCTACCTCCACCTCCGGCCAGCAGCCAGACACATTCCGGTATTTGTTTTGCTCTCTCTCCCACTGATTATACTTTATGTTTGCTGCGTGGCCCGGCGTGGCCACGTGTTTAAAATGGCGCGACAGATAATGGGTTGGCTCATTGGTCTCATCAATTGGTCACCTCCTCTCCAGATTAAACTTGAATCACAGCTGAGAGCGCTTGCAGCGCGTTTTTATCGGAAATGTACTGTGGGAAACTGGATGAGCCACCTGTGTTACCCGCCCGCATGTCCAGTGAAAACAGCGAAATGTGAGACAAAAATTTACATGCAGCTACCTTGGGACTTTATTATGAGAGAACGCAACTTTCTTCGTAATCAATTATTGAAACGAAACTTTGTCATTTGAGGTGGTACCCACTGCGGCACCGGAGTAACCCACACGGAGACTCTGTAGAGGATGTGGCCCCCGCGAGCGCTGTCGAAGTCTATCTGCAACTCGCTGGCGCCCTCGCCGCCGCGCTGCAGGTCGAACTGGGCGTTCTGGCCGTTCTGGAGCAGGTCCTCGATGTGGATGGCGGTAATCTGCAGGTTCTCGTTGGACCACTTGAGGGACCAGTGTGATTTGTGGTACGGCTTGGCCGCTTGGATCACCAGCTCGGTGAAGCCGATCCTGCAAACACCGAGACACACATGAGGAACTCCGCAGCGAGGACGCGCAGTGGGCGAGACGCGAGCGTGTACTTACGTCGAGTCGGGATCGTAGACTCCAATGAAGGCACTGTTGTCGTTCGCACTGGGAGTCGGAGGTGGTCGGGCAGTGGTGGTTGGGCGCTCTGTTGTAGAGGTCCTAACCCAGGGATCGCTCGTCGTACGCCAGGTTGGCCTTTGAGGCGTGGTCCAGGGTGCCCACGTCGTGATGGGCCTTTGCGTGGTCCAGGGTGCCCGCGTCGTGTTGGGCCTTTGCGTGGTCCAGGGTGCCCACGTCGTGTTGGGCCTTTGCGTGGTCCAGGGTGCCCACGTCGTGTTGGGCCTTTGCGTGGTCCAGGGTGCCCACGTCGTGTTGGGCCTTTGCGTGGTCCAGGGTGCCCACGTTGTGTTGGGCCTTTGCGTGGTCCAAGGTGCCCACGTTGTGTTGGGCCTTTGCGTGGTCCAGGGTGCCCACGTTGTGTTGGGCCTTTGCGTGGTCCAAGGTGCCCACGTTGTGTTGGGCCTTTGCGTGGTCCAGGGTGCCCACGTCGGGTTGGGCCTCTCCGATGTTGTGGGCCTAGGATACCTCGTGGGTCCTCGGGTCGGCACTCCTGATGGTGTGGTCCAAGGTCCCCAAGTGGGTCCTCGGGTCGGCGCACCTGATGGCGTGGTCCAGGGTCCCCAAGTGGGTCCTCGGGTCGGCGCTCCTGATGGTGTGGTCCAGGGTCCCCAAGTGGGTCCTCGGGTCGGCGCACCTGATGGCGTGGTCCAGGGTCCCCAAGTGGGTCCTCGGGTCGGCGCTCCTGATGGTGTGGTCCAGGGTCCCCAAGTGGGTCCTCGGGTTGGCGCACCTGATGGCGTGGTCCAGGGTCCCCAAGTGGGTCCTCGGGTCGGCGCACCTGATGGCGTGGTCCAGGGTCCCCAAGTGGGTCCTCGGGTCGGCGCTCCTGATGGTGTGGTCCAGGGTCCCCAAGTGGGTCCTCGGGTCGGCGCACCTGATGGCGTGGTCCAGGGTCCCCAAGTGGGTCCTCGGGTCGGCGCTCCTGATGGCGTGGTCCAGGGTCCCCAAGTGGGTCCTCGGGTCGGCGCTCCTGATGGTGTGGTCCAGGGTCCCCAAGTGGGGCGGGGGCTGGGTCCGTCTGATGGTGTGGACCAGGGGGCGCTCGTAGGGCGCGATGTGCTTCGGCGACCTGGGGTCGTTATTGGAGCGTGCGTCGGGTGGTGGCGCGTTGTGCGGTGGTGACGTGTTGTGCGGCGACGACCAAGCTTCACATCGTCGTCATCATCGTCACCATCGTCGATCCTGCCTTCCTTCCAGTCGTCGTCGTTGTCGTGGTCATTGACGTGGGAGTGGGCCGCGGTATCACGGCGTTGTACGGCGTCCAGCTGGGCGACCTCCTCGCGGACGGCGGCGACGTCTCCCGCCACGACGGCCACCAGGAGGGCTACGGCCACCAGGCCGGTGAGCACCAGGACAGAGCCCCTGGCCATGATCCGTCCAGTCGTGCTCGAACGGGGCTGCCGAATGAGGAGTCTCCTCGGTGTCTTGTACCTGTCACCTGATCTACACTGCCAATCACGCTTATCTAAATTTGCCCCCGCCACATGTCGTACTTAAAAAGTGATAAAAATAATCTTGAGTGCTGCTCGCCAAAAATGGTTGCTGAACTGATAATCCAAAGGCTGAGTATAGCGTCAATTGGTGCAATGCAAAAGCATTGCACATGAAGTGCAATGCCTCCCCTTTTCCATGCATTAGAACATGGGGCCTTTTCTGGCCGCACTGCACGTAAGGTGCAATGGCTATCGCATTGCACGTATGGTGCGTAGTTGCATTGCACCACCATACGTGCTATACTCATAGCGTTTGGAATCTCAGAGTGGTTTTCCCAGGTAGCCTATAGTTAAGACATGAACGGTCTCCAGGGAGTCTCTGGGAAGACCGGGAACATTTTGCCGTGTAGTGTTTGAGTTGTGGAGTGTAGTGCGCCATGCCGGCAATGCGTGCGGTCTGGGCGTGGTGGGGGACGCGGCAACTCTTGGCGGGCCACACACGGCCACAATGAAAAATTATGGCAGCATGACCAAACGCATCAAGGGAGTGGCGCATTACTTCTAATCTGCACGGGGGACGGTGTCGGCCGTGATTCTGACGGCCTGACAGTACAAGCCGTGCACCCGGGGGGTGGGTGGGGAGGGCGGTCCGGGGGCGGTCCGGGGGCGGTCCGGGGGCGGTCCGGGGGCGGTCCGGGGACGGTCCGGGGGCGGTCCGGGGGGTGAACGGCGATAAAAAGAACGCACGCCGTCGTAATGGGCGTGGGAGGGAACGCCAGATGATCCGCCGCGTGAAACTGTTTATTGAAAAAGGGAGTTGGGTTGCGTCCACGCCAGCGGCCTCGAAAAATAAAAGGAACGGAAAACGTTGTTTTCGGGCAATTTCTCGGAAACGGGTGCTTGCGGTTCCCGGAGCTACTCCGTTTCCCGCGCGTCATCGCGAGAATCAGTGCTTATCAGGTGGGGCGGAGTGGAGTGACACGACGGTTGGCGTCATCCGCACGCACTTACACCCACTTGAGGAGGCAGCAGTACTTCAGTCGTAGATAAATTTGCGCTAATTTTGACAGTAATTGCAGAAAAATGAAGTAAAATATAACCAACGGCTGGCGGAGAAGGCTACGCCGAGCGCTACGTTTACTATTTACAAACAATCTTGTTTAAATTTTATTCTTGACGAAGTCTACCCAAAACTATTGCGTGTTTTCGTGTCTTTAGATCAAGTACAATCGTAGTCAGCGTAAAATGTCGGTGGCTCTCTCATTCATTCAAATAACTTCCGAATCATAAGACAAGTCGACACCTGAACAGAAGACCCGGCTATCTTTTCAGAGCGATTTGAGAACCGGCTACCTTTTCAGAGCGATCCGAGAATCGGCTACCGTCAAGTCCCCTAAATGTGAACACGAACCCTAAAGTGGGACATTTTGACTATTTTCCCTATTTTAGGCCGTAAACGGCCATCGCGTGGATATTTTGCGAGGTAAAAAATATTTTTGAGACGGTAGGACCCCTCCAAGACCATATCCGCACAGAGTGTCTTGTTCCCGCTCATACCCCCTCCCCCAAAAAATCTTGAAAATTGGAATTTGATGCAGAAAAAAAGAGAAGTTTCTTCAGACGTCTAGCGCGGATTCGGGGCTTCGAGCCGTTGATGCTCGGACCATTCTAGACTTCAGACATGTTGTAGCGCGTTCTTTTATCTACAAGATGCACTTTGGAAAATTTGTTTCCGACGCTTCGTTTTACGGTGGGAAGCAATCTTCTGAGGGGCTGTAAAGTGGGACACATGCATTTCCTTCGTTTCTTTTAGGTTTTGAACGATTCAGAGGCGTTACATTCACCTCCAGCGTCCTACAAACGCTGCCTTGTATATATTAGGTTGCCAGGTCGGTTTGGAGGCCCAGGCAGTCGGGCAAGTACGGTTATTCGGTACGCTTTAAGTCAGCACAAAATTTAGTCAATGTTTGAAAGCAAATGCTTCCTCTTGGCTTAACCTACAAAGATATCGTTATCGACCATAAGACAAATCTTGCGTAAAATCATATTTTGAACAAAAAATTTTTTAGAAAAAAAGTTGCCGGGTGAACGGTTTTTAATTTTCAAAATTTCAACATGTATTTCTTGCCGTGCATTTCGAAACTTATAAAATATGACCTGAGCAAAAAATTTCATGAAATGGTTTTGGTCAGAAATTAAATTTTAAGACCATTTTGTTTTATTGGTTTTCGCCGTATTTCAATTGGTTTAGGCGCTACGGCTGTTTCTAATTTAAATATATCTAAGGAAATCTAATTGATTGAAGAGGCTCATATCAGCTTAACCAGTCGAGATATCGAAAAAGACTTCAGAACCAATCTTGCTTCAAATTTAATTTAGGACATAATACATTTTAAGAAATTTTTTGCTACTGCAGTTTTTGGGCGAAAACGAATGAACGTGTCCCACTTTAGGGGACTTTGTCCCACTTTAGGAGACTTTGGCTCCTAAATTGGGACACGGTTCTTGCTGCTCCTACTAGAGCCCAATGGGCTGAAAAAAAATTTTGTTTTCGGTAAAAGACGTGTTTTGACATGAAGATTCTTAAATCCCCGGCGATTTTCGGTGTCATCGTTATTCTGTGAATAACAGACGATTTTCCGTAAAAATCGTCCCACTTTAGGGGACTCGACGGTATCTTTTCAAAGCGACCTGAGAACCGGCTATCTTTTACGAGCGATCCGAGAACCGGCTATCTTTTCAGAGCGGTCCGAGAACCGGCTAACTGACTTTTTTTAAGAAATTGAGTTTATTTTAATGTAAGAAACTCAATTTCTTAAAAAAAGTCAGTTAGCCGGTTCTCGGACCGCTCTGAAAAGATAGCCGGTTCTCGGATCGCTCGTAAAAGATAGCCGGTTCTCAGGTCGCTTTGAAAAGATAGCCGATTCTCGGATCGCTCTGAAAAGGTAGCCGGTTCTCAAATCGCTCTGAAAAGATAGCCGGGTCTTCTGTTCAGGTGTCGAAGTACTAATCTTGTGACTCTACCAAAAGTCCGATTGGAGTGCTGTTTAAGGATCACAGAGCTTGAGTCGCGTCAACAAGCCTTTCTGCCCCACTGTGGCCCTCTGCAGACTCCAAGCGCCTCCAGAGCTCCCCGGCCGGAATTCGGGCCGCGGGGAATGTCTCCAGGCGGAGCGTCAAACGCGGCGGTGTTATTTCGGGTCGCGGCTCGTAAATTCGCCGGCCCCAGATATAGGGGAGTGGCTGACGGAATCGCAATATCTCAAACCGTCTCCACAAAGGACACACGCCGGTAGAGCGGCTGGGGGGGGGCACTATTGGCGGCGCTGCTCTTCTTGATTCGGTCTGAGGCGGGCGCGAGCGAGAAGAGGGCGCAGAATATGAGAAACGAAAAAGTCGGGACGGCCTCACGGGGAAGGGGAGGGGAAGGGGAGGGGAAGGGGAAAGGAAGGGGAGGGGAAGGGGAGGGCAGGGTGCAGAGTGGCTGGTTGTGGTGACAGCGGGGAGCAACAGCACGACGGCGTGGCAGCCGAGCCGCCAAAATATTCGGGCTGAGTCAACGTACGTCTCCCATCACCGAAGGATGCGTCATGTGAGAAGGTGTGACGAGTCGCGGGACGTCCCGCAGCCCGCGGTGGCGGTGTCCGAAGTGCAAGAAGCGAAATGTATTTGTGTTTGAGAAATGAGAAGAAACTGCACCAGAGGTGAAAACCGGCACACATTGCATTTTTTGTACTTGCAGTCTGAAATATTTTTTTTTTTGCAGACAAGTAGTTTGAAAATTCAGACTGAGTGGTCGGAATAATTACTCCGAATTTTCAGACCACTAGTTTGTTTAAAAACTTCAGACTAAAATTACTGAAAATACAATAAAAAAATTTTTTTACCGTGGGTTTATCGTGGTTCTGCGCTGCACGCTCGCTCACGCACCGTCTGTGCCGCAATCTTAGGGTCAGGAGCCCGCCCGTGCGCATTGTCTTTGCTCCCTGTGCTGCTGCGCGCAGGCGAAGCACCTGTCGGCATCTGGCCGGCAAGTCCAGGACACGTCCAGGACACGGACAAGGCCTTCCGGTCGCTGCCAGGGGGATTGGGGCCTAAAAGAAGAGCGGACCGAATCGGGGAGATTGCCTGGCGCGAGTTATGGCACCGGGGGCAGATAAGGAGACGGCATGATGTGCCTGGCTGGCTGGCTGCCTGGCTGGCTGCGCGCCTACCCGAGTGCCGCTGGAGCTGGAAAAGGACGCGGACTGGAACGCTGATCTTATCTCGCAATATTTGCAGTGCTGCTGCTGTGCGTGCCCCGGCGTGCCCCCTCCCTCCTTGCGGCCCCAAGTTAGCTCGGACGCCTCGGTTGTGCTTCGAAGCGCTTCGGCTCGGACAACAGCAAGCCAGACGAGCAGCCGACCAGGCAGCCAGACGGTCTCTAAATGGCTGTGATGCTTCCATTCTGGCCGCTTGCGTCGCCGCTTGCGTGCCGACTCCTGCCGCGCCAACAACAGGGTGGTTAGAAATAAAAGGTGAGCCGGATTCCTGGCTTTTCAGCCATTCTCGCTCCACTCGCTTTGATGTCGAGGAGTGGCCCGCTCTCCCTCCACTCTGCCTTGCCCTGCCTTGTGTTTTCCGGGGTGACCGTTTGCCTCGTTTTAAAAGCGTTTGCATGAAACGAAAGCAGGGCAGCCGGTGGGGAGGAGGAATGGATTTGCGGAGGGAGGCCCGGAGGGGGGCAAGCCCACCTGGGGGACGAGACCAAGGACGCTGTTTACGGGCCGCGACGTGCCTCCCACCTTATTTCCCGATACGACAGCCACGCACGGTGGGGCGTGACTAGCGTCATGTCGAAGGTGAGGAAGGCGAGGACGGAGGACCGAAACACGCGTCCACTTATTGGGGCGCCTCGGTGGATCGGAGGAGGAAGGCCGGACTTAATCCGTCGCATCTCGACGGAGACGCTGCCTCCCCTCACTGTGTGAAAAAACCACAGTGAATCCCGTCAATTTTTTTCTGTCGGGAT